GAATGGGATACTGAAGTAGACTCTTGAGATGTCCAGGAGTCCCACAGAAAGAGAAGTACAAGTCAGGGAATATCCAGAAGCCCGGTGGACTTCATTCAAATGCAATAGGCACCTCATGCAGCAGGAGCAGCAGCGGCAACTCCATGGACTGAGCCAGGCCTTCAAAGCTGACAGTGACTCTTGGCATTGCCCACCTCTCTTGGAAAGCTATTGAGCTGCAGCTGCTGCTTCTCAGATGCCTGACTACAGAAACACAACTGAGAATGAGCAGAGTGTGGCCTGATTGCACAGCTCTGGTCCTCTGTTCCTGGAATAGGGATGGGGGTAGGGAGAGGTTGGCCTGGCAGGAAGTGACACCATCAAGGGCATTGAATATCATTACTTGAGACTGTGCTTGACCTTATGCCTTGGCTCTCCATTACAATTATTCTTGAGCACTGGCAGTACGCTGGGAACTATGCATGCTCTCACAGAAACTTCACAGCAATCCTGAGGTGCCACAGCCAAGTTCCAGAGCTGGGTCATACACCCGGAGCCTAAAGAACCCTCATATGGACAGCAAGTAACCCGCTTATATTGGGGAGCACATCATCTCCTCCAAGCCCCTTTAGCCCTGGGTAGAGTCAGTACCTGGCTTACAGACTTTTGTAGGAATGTCTGGGTCTTTGGATTCAACTTGAAAATGTTTCCTTTTCCTTTCCTGGCTTTTGCCAGTCTGGCTGGAGGCAGCTTCTGGAGAGGCAGGGTAATCCTTCTCCTCCTCTTCCTCCTGGTCTTTCATGGTGCCTTGCTGCCCATGCCCCTTTACTTCCGCAGGATTCATCTGGATGTTGCAGTCCCCACTGGCTGCTCCTTCCTCCTGTCTAGAACAATGGGGGAGTTCCTCGTTTTCCTGTCAGAATAAAGAGCCAAAAGTCAGAATCTACTAGGGATCAATACTGTCCTCTGATATTCCCACCACAGGAGACAGAGAGAGAACTGCACAGTCCTGAGTGGACACATGGCTTCATGGGGGAGGGGCAGTCACTTCTGTCCACACAGCATCAGTGACAAAGGCATGCCCAGCTTGGGCAGAGTTGGGGGACTTCCCTAGGCAAGGACAGAGAGGCATGTAGGGGAGAGATTCCTTAGACAGTGGTGAAGGGGATAAATGTAAGATGTAGCACCAGTTCCCTCTCCTATCCAGACCATTCCCCAGTTACTACATTAGGGAAACCAAGGCATGCAGAGAGGGTAGATCCTGTCACTCAGTGCTTCCTCTCACCCTACAGCCCAGCTCCAGAAGGACTTTTGGGAAGGCTCTGGCACAGGTGTGTCACAGACCTGCAGTTACCTCATGGTCCAGCTGTAGGTTATGCTGCTCAAATGAACTAGGGTCCAACTATTCCCTTCACTAGACTTTGCGGGGAATGTTGAAAAAGAGGCAAAATCATTTGGCAAAATGATCACTAATGTCTCTAGTCTAGAAAGAAAGAAGAAAGAAAGGAAGGAAGGAAGGAAGGAAGGAAGGAAGGAAGGAAGGAAGAAAAAAGGAAAGAAAGAAAGAAAGTAAGAAAGATCATATCCTATGAAAGAGACATCTAGAAAATGCCTAAAGAAAGTTGAATGTTTGTTCAGGAGAGGAATACTCAAAAATGGACCTAGAAATAAGTCCAACAATACCTGGAGAATCCCTCTCTATTGTAAACCCACAGTCTACAGGTCAAAATGCCCATGATCTTGTTTCCCCTCCAACCCCTACCAAAAACATTGGTAGATAGATAAAAAATGAGAGCCATACAGCTAGGAGAAAACAATGAAGTGAAGAGAAAAAGGATGTGGGTTTTCTCAGTATCCAACCTGGGGAGTTCAGGGTTATTTAATTCTGTGTCCTCAACTTTCCACGAGCCCCAGGCTTGGCTACACGGAGTACACGGATTTGAAAAGCAAAGTCTGGGTGGAAACCTCACCCTTGTTCAACAGTCAGCTCTCACTGGAAACCAGGGGTGCTCTTTTTTCTTCATTTTGGAATGAGGAGCAATTAGAAGCCACTCCAGGCACTTAAGTTCAGTGTTAGTGTTCTCAATCATGTAATCATGACCTCAAGCAATTATTGAAATGTACTAGGGGTTCTCTGATTTCAGGAGATGCTCTTTCAGTTCTTCCTCCACCTCCCCCCTGTTTTTACTTGGACACACCCAAATTTTATTCCTTTTCCTGAGCAGGGAGAGAAGCAGGGAAATGTAAGATTTCCACCTGCCAGGGAATCTCTAAGAAGACACAGAAATCCCAGGGCTTACATACAGGGAAGAACACAGGGCACAAATGCAGTGGAGACTGCGGCCCCATGGGGCCGAGGCAGTCAGCACTAAACTCTGCCTTCAGAACTGGATTTCTGAACCCCAGCTGCTGCCCACTTGCCCGCGAATGGGAAAGCCAGGGTCTGGAACCCATCTCTCCATGGTTCTGTTCCCTTGTTTTCAAAGAAAGGCACGTATACCTTCCTCCAAGGACCTTTACCCTTCCCAAATCACTTCCCTCTTCTCAGCCTCCAATAAGTACCAGAAATCTACTTATTCGTAAGACATGGCGCAGGAAATTACCTCCACTTGGGGATCAAATGGAATTGTCTTTACACAAGGAACTCAGCTGGTGCTCAAAGCCCAGCAGCTTGAACAAACAAAAATCAGGAAAGGAGGATTTTTAAAAAATATATATTTTATTGATTTTTAAAGAGAGGGAGAGGGATAGAGAGTCAGAAACATCAATGAGAGAGAAACATCAATCAGCTACCTCCTGCACACTCCCTGCTAGGGATGTGCCCACAACCCAGGCACATGCCTCCGACTGGAATCAAACCTGGGACCCTTCAGTCTACAGGCCGACACTCCATCCACTGAGCCAAACTGGCCAGAGTAGGAAAGGAGGATCTTTATCAGCCCAGGCTCCACCCCTAGGCTGATAAAGCCACCTCATTGAATGGCTCCAGTGGAAGTTGAGCAATTCCTTTCTAGTTCTGTCAAATCTCTCTCATCTGGATTTGACCAAGAACTGAAAAATGAATGTAACAAATCATAAACCCTGGGACCATGTCTGAAATCCAGTTTTTTATCATTAAGAAATAACCTTCTGCCCAACCGGCGTGGCTCAGTAGTTGAGCATCAACCTGTGAACCAGAAGGTCACAGTTTGATTCCCGATCAGGGCACATGCCCGGGTTTCAGGCTCAATCCCCAGTGTAGGGCATGCAGGAGGCAGCCGATAAATAATTCTCTCTCATCATTGATGTTTCTCTGTCTCTCTCCCTCCCTTCATCTCTGAAATCAATAAAATATTTTTTTAAAAAAAAGAAGAAATAACCTTCCAGCAAAGAACATAACCAGTCCATTTCTTATTTCTCAGGAACTGAAGTAAGAGAGGTAGGGCTCACTCCCCAGGTTTGCCCACAAAACAGCCAAACGAAGCGTCATAAACGAGCTGGGTGAGTTAAGTTTTACCTGTGACAACTTTGGTAGATTATGGCTGTCGCCTTCAGTAGCCAATGACTCTACTTGTTCCTTTAATCTAAGCTGAGGTGCCAACAGCTTCAGAATATCGGGAGAATGTTCCTGAGACTGTCCCGGGACTGATGGTGAAAAGAAACTAAGGAGAAGCTGTGACATAAAACAGAAGACTTCACTACTTAAGTTTCTACAGGTACTCAGGTGAAGGGAGAGGGGGAGGAAAAGGGTAGAGGGAAAAGGTTGCAGGGCAAAACTCTAGGGAAGAAGCCTTGGACCAGACAGACCAGGGCAGACCACGGCAGGGACCCTCACTTCAACAAATCACCCAGGAGCTTATTAAAAGTCTAGGTTCCAAGTTCCCATGCCTGGCTCCCCAGATCTGAAGTGTGGTCCAGGAATTTTCATTTTGAAAAGGCATCCCAGATGCCTCTGTCACCCTAGTCAAACTTAAAGAGCTATCACTGCAGTGCTATCTTTCCATAGAAATATCTGCAGTAGGATTAAAAAACTTAGGTAGGAGGAAAGAGCCAAAGAGGTGAAGGCAGGAGACAAAACATCAGCTGGGGGACCTGGAGCCATGTCCATAACACCCCAGTGGGTTGAAGTCTACAATTGTCTTCTAGGTTCTGATATTTCTTTCCTCTGCCTGCCCATTTTGCTCCCTCTTTCCCCAGCCATCACCTCTGGCCCTTTATCCCTTCTGCATTGAAGTGTTAGAAAAAGCAGAAGCCAACTTTCCTCCATCTTTTCCCAGCCTCTTCTCCCCCATTCTGACCTTTACTTTCCCGAGAAAGTCAAGGAATTTCAAGAACTAGTAATGGGGCAGACTGGTTTCAGTGTATGGCTAGTTCCTTTGCAACTGCAAAAGCCCATTGTGTGAGAAGATCCAGAAGGGACTGGAGTCAACAATGGGTGTTCTAGTGCAGGCTGCATCATTGGCTGCCCACATTCTTGCTTCAATGTGCCAGCAGGGATTGTGAATATATGTGTGTATATTGTATGTAACATGTAAGGTCACCTGGCTTCTAAAACACATTCAAGTGTTTCCACCCAGATCCCCCTACAATGTTTGGAAACCCACTGGATGCTCCACCCGCTTGCTCAGTCAGGGTACATAGTCAGGGTATTAATTAATCAAGAGAGCCTAACAGGAACTCTGACCAAACTCTCCAGCTTGATTTGCTCCTTTGCTGTCCCTCTCCCACCCCTCAGTTCCTTCATGATGTTTCTTCAGATAACCAACTCTGCTTGGCCTTCAAGGCTCAGCTCCAGGGATGCGGTCCCCTACTACTCCAGCCTCCCTGATGTCACCTATACTTTCATGTTCTCCACTGCACCATAATAGAGCACCTTACACGACACAGTCTTGTATTAGCCTCAAATCATACCGTAGACGTAAGTCTTTCTTTCTAACCAGACAACCAGCTTCTGGAGAGCACAGGACAAATGCCCAACAAATACTTGTCACACTAGATGGAATTGAATTAGCACACTTATCCATCCCAGGGCCCAGGGAGAGGCCTTGGGTTCAGGCCCAATGTCCTCAGACATCCCTGTTTTCCTTCTATTTCTGGGGAACCCACTTCCCAGATCTAAGTTGGGAAAAGAATGAGGTGGAAAGGCACAGTGCCCAGGGTCATAAATGCCAGTTTTCAGAGCCCTCTCCTCCACCGAAGCCAAAGCTGGCTCTCAGAAGCCCTCCTGAGTGACCCAGCAGGACCAACCCATTTCTGAAGCAATCTCCCTCACATTCTCCCCAAAACAGCATGATGTTCTTCAGTGGCCACCACACAGCATCCTAAGATGTGAGGGTAAAAGGGCAGAGTGTGGTGCGAGGGAGCGGAGGCAGAAAGGAGAAATGGAAGGAAACAAGGCAGAAACAGGAGCAGCTCTTCACATCTTCCCTTTTACCACCTAAGATCTCGTTCTAGGCCTTCCCAATGGCTTTAGAAAACAAACGGTGGGGCCAACATTCAGTGGGAATAATCATTCCACATAAATGAAAGTCAAACCCACTTCAGTGTCAGCCTTCAAAAGGCTCAAATGGGTCAAGAAGGATGGAAAGAAGAATCTAAGGTTTGTGAGTGTATAAGGTAACAAATGCCAAGTGAACCTGGACCATCTTTGTCACGTCTGAAAATGGAACAATCTGATAAATAAGCACTCCTGCGGGCCCTCAGTGTTCTTAAATGGCTGCCATGCCCTTGTCACACTCAGCGGAAATTTGCCCCTACATTCTTGCCCCAGCCTCAGAACTCCATAACACTCATTACGGACATAGGCTCCTATTGTCTGGCATTATATTGCGCTGGGTAACACATGCAGGGTTGTAAGGGCATTGAGGACTGCCCCTGTGTCTTATGCCTCTTTGAGTCTCCAGATCTTAACACAACGTCTTACCCTATTAAGTTAGGCAGCCCCACTAAAAGCAGCTGGAAAGAGATGTCAACATAACTGATGATACCAGACCCTTTCGGGACACCTGTGAAATGGGTAAGTGGGAGTAAAGAAATCACTCATGGCCCTGGTCTGGTAGATCAGTTGGTTAGAGCATCGTCCCAATATGCCAAAGTTGCAGGTTTCATGCCAAAGTTGCAGGTCAGGGCACATACAAGATTAACCAACAAATTCATAAAGAAGTAGAAAAACAAAACAAACAAAATACACACACACACACACATATATATATATATGTATATATAATTAATCAATACTTAAAAAAACACTCTTTAAGAAACCACTCATCCTTAGACCTGACACTTGCCTCTGTTGGCCTTCACACAATCTGTCCCCAAAGTCAAGGTTCTTCTAACCACCTTTGTTCATCCATTGCAGAACTGGTTGGTCCCATTGCTACTCTCCACCCAGCCCCAGCAATGAGTGCTGAGACTCCCAGCATGTCCCTTCAGGACAGCAGGATGGTGAAGTGGCTAGAAGGCAGACCCTGGAAACAGGTAGAATTGGCTTCGAATGATCTTCCACAAATCACTAACTGCGACCTCACGAAAGTCACCAAGCCTCAGCATGTTGTGGGGATTAAATTATATCTTCCACAGAGAGCCCTAGTGCAGTGTCTGGTGTGCATAACAAGTGCTCAATAAATGTTAGCTGCTATTATTGTTGTTGTTGTTATTATTATCCACACCATGGACTACACTTAAGATTTGGAGGATCCACGAGTGCTTCTCTCAAGAACACTTTGTCCACTTCCCAAACCACAGCAAAGCAACTCCCTGGGAAAGAAATCTGTCAGAGGCAGAAGGTCCGCTTCCCCTAGTTCATTGATTTTTCTAACCATTCATTTCTGGAGCCTTCAGCAACCAGTCCTGTCTCTTGCTCCCTTTCTTCATCACTGCTCTGCCAAACCACAATGGAACAGAAGTACTTGGATTGCAGTGGTGAATTGGGGGCTGGGCACAAGGCAAGAGCAGAGACCACCACTGAACGTCAGTATCCAACTTCAGGCCCATTAGCCAGACACTCTGAGAGCACATTGCAGAAGAGTAAGCAACAAAGTCCTGGGAATGAGGATGCTTAAGCCTTCGCTAATACTCTCAGTACTTCATGCAGCTTTTAAAAATAACCACATTCTCCTGGGACTCAAGAGTCAGAATGCTTGTTTGGATTATATTGTAATGGTCTCTGACTTACACTTGTGAGACAGTATATGTGTTTTATTTCTAGCAAAGGAGTTGAAAGTTGGAGTTGTACATATGGAAAATGAGACGGGGGCCAGCATCCTTTATGAGGAGCTGGCTTCCTGGTGTGGCTGGTGAAGCTGTGACTCGGTCAAAGTAAAGTTCCACAGCTGCAGGCAGCCCCACACCCCTGACCTCTTGTCAACAGCCAGAAACTCCTCAGTGAGCCTCCATCCCCATGTTAACTTGTTTGTACTTATTTTTGTCTTTTGTTTTTTTCCCCATTGACAACCCAGACCCTGAGTGAAAGAAGCAAGAACATTCTTCATAGTCTCCTACAGAAATGTAGCAACTGCTCAATCTGATTGTACACACCAAGAGGACGGTGATTTGGGGGCAATCAATTAGAACTTGTGTCTCCCTCTTGTCCCCTTAACCCAGGGAGCCACCACTCAAGACCCCAAATGCCCTGGAAGACAGTTCCCTCAGCCGCCTCCCTGGAGAAGACAGTGAGGTGGGAGCCCATTGGGCAGCTGGGCCTGATGTCATCTCAACTCACGCTTTGGGCTTCCGATCTTGCTTTCCTGCTCTTTCCATCCAGTGAAACGCAGTATAGAAACTCTCTTAGTGCTTCCTCCACCTTGCCTAGGGTGGCTAAGGCTTGCGCCTTTCTGAAGTGTGCCTGGAAGAAAACGTTAGCTTTCAATCCCATTCTTATTCACCCTCCTGACACTATTCTTAATACTCCCTAACTTCATGGGTATTCACTCCTGCCTGAAGCATTTCCAAGGATTATCTTATGCACAGCCCTATCATGCAGGCAACTGTTCTGAAGCCCATGTTAAAGAAAACAAAAGACCCAGAAAAGTGACTTGCCCAAAGTAACACAGCTGATAAATTTTGCAGTCAGGGTTTCAGCCTGGGACTGACTGATACCAAAGTCCAAATTCTTACTACCCCCTGCTGCCGCACCATTGTATTAGAGGGATCACCAAGTAGCAAGAATGCCCATTTGAACACATACTAACCAGGACCCATCCAGATTTGCCTTCCTACTAACTAGTCAGTCGAGCAGAGGCCTGGTCCACATTACTGGCTTGAGTGACCACCTACACTTACTGATCATTCTTCAAGAGAGACCCAAGGGAAGGGTTGTGACCTAAGACCTTGATGGCAAAGCTGGAACTACCACTGTGGTCTAGGATCCCCAGAACGTTCTTCCCCACAAGGCAGACTGTTCTTCAGAGAACTAACCAAGGGACAGAGAGGTAAGCCTCTCCACTTACCTGTGGGGAACTGAAATTCCTGTTTAATACTCCCATCAACTCTTCCTTTATTGGGGAAGTCACGTTTCCCATTTCATCCAAAAGGGTATACTGCTTACTCGGCCCTGTTTCCCATTGCACTATCAAGGCCCCACTCTTAGGCCTTAGGTTAAGGATGGGAGCAGAAAAAGTTGCAAGAGAAGTCCTCCTACCCTCAGGCAGCTCCCTGCCCTGCACTGCTACAAGGACTGAAATGCTCTCATTGGAGTTCCTTTGGGTTAAGACGCTGGTGACCTTTAGTAAACTGTAAATGTGTTCCCTGGGAAAGCGAACATACTAATCCATCCTCACCCATGAACACCTTCTCATGAAAGAACACATGAGATTCACTTTGACATCAATGGCCCAGTGTGCGGGTCCACAATGCTTTATCTGAAGTCCCAGATTTAAAAAAATTCTGATAATCTGATATTTTCATAAGCCTGACATCAGAGGTCATGAGGTGGCACAACCTGACCTAAAATGATATAAAGTGTATTATATTCTTTATCCCACTTAGTGTGAATTTTCATGTAACGCACTGCAGAAATATTAATGTCTTATTATGGGGCACTGTCCAAAACTCAGTAAGGGTATTACTTCATAGAAGGTCTTTCCGGAATTGGAAACCTTCTGGATTCTGAACACATCTCACCCCATGAAATTCATAAAGGGATCATGGACCTGGACTTGGGTAAGTTGGGTGTCTAAGGAAGGCATCCTGGGGTTGTGTAGAGCGAGTACTACATAAAGACCCAGCAAGTATTATAGTTCACGGAATGGCCCTTAGGCCATGATCACTTGTGACCCTCACTGCATCCCTATGAGGTGATCGGACAGATAGCAATAGTTTCACTTTGCAAAAGGACACTTAGGGTCCAGAGAGTGAAGCAATTTCTCCATGTTCACTGTGCTGGCAAGCAGTGAAGCCCAAGCTCAAATCTAATCTTCTAAACCAAATATATTGACATGTGGCTAAGGGCCAGTCCTGAGGCCAGAGATGCAAAAAGGTGACACTTTGCATCCTAGCATCCTGAGATGCCTAGCTTGTCTTTCTCCCCACCCCTCCATGTGACCTAGATGTTTGTGGATACTGGTAGGCTGACTGACTATATTAAAGACTCAGAATGGCACAACCAGCCAGCAATGCTTGTCTTACCCTCCTCTTTCAGTTGTGCCTGGAAAATAATGGTGATAATGATAGCAAACACTTAGCTATGTGCCAGGCATTGTTCTAAGCATCTTACATGTTTTACCTTATGTAATTCCTATGACAAACCCTGTTAAGTAGGAACTTTGAATATCCCCATTTTATAGATAAGAATATAAAGCACGGGGAGGCTAAGTAAATTTGCCCAAAGTCACACAGATGATAAAAGTAGAAGAGCTGGGACATAAACTCAGGTAATCAGGCTCTCAAGTCTATATTCTGGAGTCACAGAGCCCAGGCTGCTATGCAGGTCATCAATGGAGGATCAAATTGGGGAAGAATCCAGTTCCCTTAAAGACCCCTAAGTAACCCTTTGTCAAAGGACCTGCTCCTTTGCAAAGCCTTCTCCCAGGTCTGCTTGAGTTCTAGTGCCCCATACCCCCAAGGGCGGCAGCCCTTCTGGCCAATTCCTTCTATAGCATACCCCCTTCCCATGCTTCCCATCCGACACTCACCTTAAAGCCCATTGGGCGGAGCTTACATGCTATTTCTGCATCATGCAGTGCATCCTCATGAGACTCCAAGGTGAAATAAATTTGTGACCGGTTGCTATAAAGTAAATGGTCATTGGGTGCTGCCAAAATGAGAAAAAAAGCAAACCCTCATTAATGGCCCCCAGCAGAAACAAGTAAATCCTGTATGAGGATGGATCTTGAGCAGATGGAAAATTTTCTAAGACTTTTCCCCTGGGGAGCCAAAGGGTCATGCTCAATTTCTAGCCCTAATATTGTCCTGCCAACGACACTCCCCTGCAGCCACTGTGGGTCTGAGATGGCCCAGCTGTAAAGAAGGGATTTTCGCCCCTCTCTTAAGCAGATCCTTAGAGGACCTGTGGTGTCAGGGGTGTTTCAGTGACTTTGACATGGAGAAAACTCTGGCACCCTGCTTCGTAGCTATATGGGGCTAGCAACTGACAGCCTGGCTTCTGACTGAGGTATCACCCACAAGGAAACAGGCCAGGAAGTGGGGAGTGGGAGCTGGCCAGATGTGACCCCCATCACGGCCACCAGGAAGACAAGCTCAAGTTAGTCTTCTGGTAGCAACAGCAACATCTGTCTAGAAACCCAGCACATATGAAGTTTCTCAAAGAAAATGGAAATGTATTTGCAAGGCTCCTTCCTCACATTATAGATGGCCAAATGTGAATGAACCTGGACAAGGCTTCTGAGAATAAATTGAGATTGGTTGTCACCAACACTCTGAATCACTAGATGTCAAGGTTGGGCAGGCCTTTAGAAATCATCTGGTTCAACCAGCCCATTCTTCAGATAAGGAAAATCAAGCCCAGAGAAGTGAAGGGATCTTCTGAAAGTCACACAGCTAGCTAGTCAGGCTTGTTAACTGTCCAAACCTTGCATCTGGAGTGGGGGGCAGGTTTCTTTTTTTCTTAAGGACAGTACAATATTTAGAACAATGAGGAAGAGAGCGTGGCCATCTTTTGGTACAAAGATATTCTTTGTTGGAGAGGCCCCTTTCCTCCTAGAAGGGTGAAGTGGTCTTGACATTTTCACCCTGACTGCTCTGACCGCACAAGGAAAAACCCCGGGGAAAACTGGCCCTCCTGGGATGCATGGAAGGAATGGAACCTTCCTTGGAGATCTGGGCTAAAGGGGCCTGCCCCTGTTGCCTTCATATTGCCCTGCTCTTCCCCAGGGAACAGGCTTTGTTGGTTTTTCCCTTAGGGATGTGCTAAGGGTTTGTGTGGGTGCACATTACTTGCTCTTAAGACATTAGCAAACAGTTTAAAGAAGTCTTCTCTGTCCCTTCTTTACTGCAGCACATGCCAGCCCAGTGGCAGCTCGGTGTTTGTGTGAGCACAGGGTGTGTGTGTGTGTGTGTGTGTGTGTGTGTGTGTGGAGGGAGTCCCCATCTCCCTCAGGTGCCAGTCTTTCCCAATCCACCCTAGTTCCTCCCCTATTCCCAATACCTGTTGCCAGTTCTGGTTTAGGCTCCACACAGGGACACTCCAGCCCAGCCCCTCCTCCACCCATCGAGTCCCAGAGTCTGGTCTGCCCAGCCCTGCTGCCCCTTTCCTCCCCTCACGCTTCGCCAGACACCGTGCCCCACCAGCAGAGCTCCTGGCAGCCTGCCCCAACTGGGCAACAGCAGCCAGTGGCTCAGAGGCCACTTCCTGGGTTCAGGTGCGGGGAGAAGAGGGTTGGGGAAGCCTCTCCCTGTGGGAACTCCGGAGCCCTAGTAGGGCCACAGGCATGGGGCTGCCCACCTTGTCCTTGAACCCACAAAGCCCACCCATCCGTCTCCAGGCAGCACGAGAGAGCGGGACAGAGGCGTGTCCCCTTCTCAGCTAGCCCACAGCCCCCGGAATCCCTGAGCAGTTTCCAGGCCAGGACGCAGGCGGCAGGCTGGAAAGGGGGGGGGGGGCATCTATTTCAGACGCGGATCCTGTGATAGGAAGCGGTGACAATGAGTCACAGGGCAGCGGGGCACGAGCGCTCTTCCCCCTCCCCTCCCCATGCTCGCGGGACGGTTTCCGAGGCGAGCGTG